AAAAATAAAAATAAAAATCAAGTTACCAGTTTTGCCTTGGCCTGCGACAGCTGTGAGCACTTCTCTTGTGACGCGGCGAGCTGTCTTTCCACGTCGCCGTGTTTCAGTTCCAGCTCAGAAACGCGGGTATGGAGGCCTGCAAACAAAGAGAAACGCCCGTCACAATTTCGCGGCGATCCAAAGTGTCTAAAGTGACTGCTGCTGCGCCGTTCCTGTCGTGCTCACCTTCTGATTTCTGCCGCTCCGCAGCCAGGTCCTCCTGCAGCCGCCCGACCTCGGCGGCCTTCTTGGTCGCCTCGTCCTCGACCTGTGTCCGCGCCCTCTCTATGTCCCTGCACCTCGACTCCAGCTCGGCGATCTTCTCGTCCCTCGCGGCCAGCCGCTCCTCACCCTGGCGCTTGGTCTCCTCCAGCAGCGCCGCCTGTCGCTCGGCCTCCTTCTCCAGGTCGGCCTTGCCTCGCTCCAGGGCGCGGAGCTGGTCCGTCAGGGTCGAGACCTCGTCGCCCTTGGATGCGGTCAGGTTCTGCAGCCTCTGTTCCAGGGCTGCCACCTCCTCTGCCCTGCCCTTCGCCTGCTGCTGCAGTTTCTCCTCTAGGGCGGCCACTGCCGCAGCCTTACTCTCTTCCAGTTCCTGGAGTTTGCCCTCTAAGGCCGCCACTGCTTCTGTCCTCGACTTGTCTTTACTTTCCACTACTTGCTGTAGCTTGGCTTCCAGCGCGGCCACTTCCTCGGCTCTCGCCTTGTCTTTGCTTTCGGCCAGCTGCTGGAGTTTGGCCTCCAGGGCGGCTACACCGTCAGTCTTCTCCACATCCAGCTGCTGGAGTTTCGCCTCGAGCGCCGCCACCTCCTCCGATTTGGCCTGCTCCAGTTGCTGAAGCTGAGCCCCGAGGGCGGCGACCTCCTCGGCCCTCGCCTTCTCCAGCTGCTGCAGCTTGTCCTCCAAGGCAGCAGTTCCCTCCGCCTTGGCCGCGTCCAGCTGCTGGAGTCTGGCCTCCAAAGCCGCGACCTCCTCGGCCCGCGTTCGCTCCGCGGCCTGCAGCTTGTCCTTGACGGCCGCCACCTCCTTGACGGCCTGCTCGGCCTGCTCCTTCAGCCTGGACTCGAGGGCGGCCACCTCCGCGGCCCTGGCGGCCTCCGCCTGCCTCAGCTGCTCCGTCAGGCCCGTCACCTGCTCGCTCTGCTGCTGCAGCTGCTTGGACAGGCCGCCGACCTGGGCGTCCTGCGACGAGTTGAGCTGCTCGACGAGGGCGTTAAGACGCGCCACCTCGGCGTCCCGGTCGCCGAGCGACGCCTGCAGTGCGGCGGCCGCCTGTCCTGCCGCGGCCTTCTGCTCCTCGGCCTCGCGCTGCAGGTCCTGGGCGGCCGCCACCTGGGCGGCGAGCTGGCCTCGGAGCGCCTCGACGGCACTCTTCTCGGCGGTGAGCTGGCCAGAGATGTCGCAGGCGGTAGACTTCTCGGCGGCGAGCTGGGTCTCGAGCGCCTCGGCGGCCGCCTGTTGGGCCGCTAGCTGACTCCTGAGCTCCTCCGCGGCGGACTCATGCTGCCCCACGGCGGTCTGGGCGGCCACGAGCTGGGCCCGCAAGTCCTCGACCGTGGCGTCCCCGGTGGCCTGCCTGCTCTTGAGTTCGTCGGCAGCCGAGGCCAGTTGGTTCTTGAGGTCCTCCGCCGCCTTCTCTTTGGTACTCAGCTGACTCGCCAGCTCCGACCTCGCCGCCTGTTCCGAGGCCAGCTGGCTCCGCAACCCCTCCAGGGCCGACCTCTCGGATTCGAGTGCAGTCTTGGCCTCTTCGACGGCCGCCTTCTCCGCGACGAGCTGGCTCTGGAGCTCCAACGCGTTAGCATCTTTGGTCTGTATCTGCGCCAGGAGATCCTGCACTTGGCCACCCTGTTCCGAGGACAGCACCTGCAGCTGCTCCCGAAGCTCCAGCAGCTGTCCCTGCAGCACTGCCTCTCGCGCCACCAGCTGATCATGTGACTCCCGCGATTCAGTCCTGTCGTAGAAAATATAGAATAGATTAGTCAAAAGAGTGTCAATGATACGGTTTTACAGCCTCGTCACTCTTATCTTTTGTGTCTAACTCACTTGTTTCTCTCCAGTTCATCCTTGAGCTTCGTCAGGGCCTCCTCCGCCTCAAAGAGTTTGTCCTCGGACCGCTCGCGCTCCTCGGCGAGCTGCTTCTCCAGCTCCTTGACCTGCTCTGGGGTGGCGGCCGGGGCTGCCGCCGCGCTGTCGGCACGCGCGATGGCCTCCTCCTCGAGCCGGAACTGGAGGTCCTCCAGCTGCTGCCGCAGGTCGCCGGCCTCCGTCTCGAGCCGCTGCACCTTCTCGTCGGCCTCCGTGCGGTAGTGCTGGTACTCGGTCTTGAGCACGGCGAGGGCGTGCTCCGCGTGGTCAGCCTGGCTGGCGGCCCTGGTGATCTCGGCGCGCTCCAGGTCCCGCTCCTTGAGGAGCTGCTCTATGTGCGCCTCCTTCTCCTTGAGCGTCTCCTGGGGAAAACAAAAGAGAGGGCCACTTTAGAGCTAAGGTCGACAGTTTGGAACAATTTGTATTTGTATGTGTTTCTGTGTTTTATGTAGTTTGGTAGTTTTACAGCAAATATTGCAAGGTTGGTCAAACTGAACGCAAATATTCGCGAAAGCAGTGTGTCCAACGTGAGGGGTCTATGGTCTGTGCCTGCCTAGCCGTCCGGCCTCCTCCCATATAGGGCGAAACCAATGCGTGGGTGGGAGGCGCCAGATGACAGTGGAGGGGGGAGGCACCAGTACAGCCAACTTCAAACCATAAAAATTAAAGAACGAAATATGCCAGTTGCCAGCCAACCCCATAGTTTGCTTCATTTATTTATTTGTTTATAGTCCAGACACACTAAATGTTTGCACATCGTATTTTTCCCATCTTAAAACGTACTTACAAGCGCGAGTGCTAACATTGCTAATTACATTAATTTCAATAAAATTTCACCTCCCTTTATTTTTTTCATAGAGAAAAATGGCCAATAGATCAATAGCCGACAGTATTCTATTAACCTCTCGGTCGATGTCCCGCTGGGTGATTGGCAGTGTGGTGGGCGAGGCGCCCGCTGAGCGCCGGGGAGGTGGGCGGCAGCCTCACGGTACAGGAAGGACTGAGACTTTAATTCAAACTGTAATTGCGCATCGTTTGCATATTCGCCTCGACTGTTATGATATGCCGTTTGAAACTATGCTCTGCGTCAGCAATGCAAATAACAACCATTCTAACATTTCTGTCCAGTAGGATGGGCAAATCAAATATATTTAACATTTTGCGTTCGGACGAATAGAGTAAAATATCGTATTGGCTGTTTGATAGCACAATTTTTTCAGAATGCTAAACACTCGAAATCGCGAGGGTTTGTTTGTTGTCTTCTTTTACTAATTTGACGATAGGAAGGTATGCATTTTTGTGCACGTTATGACCAGATGCAAATCTAAATGTTGCAAATGACAAAAATTTAATTTCACCCATCAGAGAGATGCGAAACGATTGCTTGCAAGATTCAGAATTGTATACTGCCAGAATGTGCACAAAAATGCCTTTTTTCAATGGTTAATAAAATTAATTCTTCCGATAAAGTAGGTGCATTTTAATGCACACAATTTTCACTACACACAAAACAAGTGCAAACTGTGTGGTTCCAGACGATCACCGAGAGGGGGAGGGGAACCACGACTTTTGCCCTCTTTCAGCCTGATAGTATCGCACCTGACAGTTCTGCACTGATAAAGGGAGTGTTCAACCGGTCCGTTCAGCACTCGCAAGTGTTCAATTTAGAAAGTCATGCACTTGAAAGTCTTTCAACTTCTCTGTTGGACAATTTCTACACAGTACGTCCAAGACAAGGAAGTGTTCCAACAGAGGAGTTAAACACTTACTGGTGTACTACACTTGATTTATCAGTGGTGACCCGGTCCACTTATTGAGTATGCACATAGAGTAATCACCCATCCTTGCACCGGACAAAAACATTATTGAAGCCCTTTTAAATTGTCCCGGGTCGGCCCCGCCCTTCCGGGCACAATGCGCAGCGTGCGCAGCTAATGGCCCGCGACCGCAAGTCTCCGCATGGCTAATGTGATTGGGTATTGTCTCGCGGTGGCGCGTGGCGCTAGGCCCGCCCGCCCAGCCCCTCAGACTTGCAGGCTCCCTATGGGGACCACTTTGAATAGTTATGAATGAAATGAGTCGACTAGAAACTGCCCGAAAGCCGCACTTATGGAGAAGAACCCATTACTACTGTTTTCAAAAGGGACTTTTGTGCGGGGCGCCCCCGGACGAATAGGAAAATATAGAGTCTCAGCGACCAACTATCTATCTAGATTACATGAATTAGACAACACCTCTACGTTTAACCCTGTTAAGCTACAACCAGAATACGTTTACGGACACATGCACAAACTACTTTCGGACTAACTACAGTTTAATGTAAGTGGAGCAAAATACATTGCTCATCAAGCCCCAGATATACTTCTATTTGTTAAGTTATGCAAAAGGATGCTCTTATTGCAGATACTCGGAATGGCAATTGATAAAAGCATTTTCGTCACCACTGTGTCGTTTGGGTAGAATTCATGTGTGCTACATACTGCGTGTGTTGAGGGAATAATTGGGGAAATTTGTTTGGTAGTATTTTATTAACACAATAGTATTTACAAGTTATCACACAATGCTAAGCAAGCATTAGTTCAGTACAAAACAAACATTAATT